CAAGTAGCAGTTCACGCCATCTCTAGTACGAATACGACATGCGTCGTTACTGCGCAGTAGGCATAACGCTGCAGAACGCGATGGAACGTAAAAGAATTGTAGGCCATATATTATGTAGTTGTAAGATTTATAGATACATTCATTTCTATTCAGTAATAAATAGTTTTGTATCGAAACGGACTGCTAGCCGCAATTCCGAAGTTAAATCGCTGAGATCGCTCAACGCTGAGCGTGAAGGTTGAAGGAGGACTCTTGCCCGAGTCCAAGAAAACACACGATTAATTACGATAATTGACCGAACAATTACAACGTTTATTCAACGATATACAATAAATAATACGGAACTATAACGCGATGCGCGTATGATAAGAATTTGTTGGCTGGTTGCAACAAAGAAAACTGTACGACAACGACGCGATGTGCGTGCAATATTGTCGCGTGAGAATAGTACCGGTAATCTTCTTATTCTGCTCTAGTCTGCAGGCTGTCGGTGTAGGACATTGGTCGAGCACCGAGAGTCCATTTTTTGCACAACTCGGTGATTGGCGGTGAGTCATCGCGCGATACAGATGTGTGCTAGGATTGGTTTCGCCGAATTCGCGTAATATTTCTCGGAACGAGAAGCACGACGTGAAAACTCGGGAAACCTCGGCCGCGCGACGGTGCGCGAACGACTTACAGTTGTTAGTTGAATTTCAAACAAGTTTAGTGCAGTTGTATCCGCTGAGTTATTAATACGGTCCACGAATCCTATCAGACATCAATTTATGAATAAGTATATTGATAAATCCACACAAGCCTTCCAAAATGCAATAGTTTTGTGGTGTCGCAGATAATTTGAAAAGTTATGAACCAATTCACTTAAACCTTACTATACGCGTTCGGAAGAAATGCCTTTATAGCATGAACCAAAATAGTAATTGTAACTTTATTACTTTTCCTTTGGTGCTCGAGAAAATGTTCGATTTTTATAAAAAAATATAAATTTTTTCTGTTAAACTACACCATTTCCGTAATTCTTAAAATATTTCTATTTTCTTCGTTTGCGCTATTACCTTTCTTTGGTCTATGAAATATTACCATGGTGGATTTTTTGTTCCAGACCTTCTTCAAAAGGAGTGATTCACATCGCTACGAGACTGCTGCTTTTTTGTAGGCTTGTCTGAATATACAAATGCATTCATAAAATGTCTTTTTTACATTACTAAAATGGTTATTTTATCTCAGAACATTGTCTAATTGATCCCAAACACTTCAATTTAATTGTATATCTTTCGCTAGTAAAAAAAGACTTCAAAAAGTGCGTGTTTTTTAAGTCTTTAGACAGAGAAACTTCCTCAATGTATTCAGTTGCATACATTTTAGTATCGACTGTATTTCAAACTTACGTCCCATAAGTTGTAATATTTGTATAAGGCCATTTTATCACAAATCAATCACTTTTTGGGCTTGATATCAGAGATTTTTATGAAATGGTCTATGAATATTATAGTCCATGTGAAATTAAGGGGGTGTAACTCGTCATTTTGCTGGTTTAGAAGTTGCTTAAAAAATATAAGATGTCCAATATATAAAAACCATTAAAAATTACATTACGAATGGCTTACGAAAATCAATAGAACTAAATTTTTACATTTGTAAAACTTAAATTAGTGAAGATATCTACCACGAATAGGTACTTCGTTTGATTACATTAGGCAAAATAGGAGGTCTTTCTATAAAAAAATAATAACGCGCTGATAGTTAACATGTTCGCATTCTATCGACTTATCACCAAATAGCACCAAATTTTTCTATAGTTTTATGTTAAATCTTAAAGACCAGTATTATGTAAACTTTTCTTGTTTAATAAAAACCGTTATTTTTTCGCGGTATCCATTAAATAATGATGTACAGGGGGAATCATTTATATCGAAACCGCCGTATATTTTCAAAACCATTGATGTTACCAAGAAATGTTTCAGATAAAACAAACGTGCCCAACATGTGGCCCGCGGGACACATCGCCAGACTACGCGTCCCCACCATCACTCAGTCCATTCTCCATTAGTCGCCTGCGCTGCGTTGCGAACGGCGGGCAAGAGGTACGCGCGGGTAGGGATTTCGGGAGCGTCGGAAGTGGGGACAGTCGGAGCATGCGCACACGCTTTTTTGCCTGTCTCTCGTCGGACTTGTGAATATGGACGGGGGTCATTCCCCTCGTCTGAAAGAGCAAGCCGGTCGGGTCGCGATTCGATTTTGACCCGCGGGCCACACCACAGCCAAATAATTTGACGTGAATATTTCTTGTAGGTGGACACGTGAAAGAATCATATAACTTTTAATGCACTAAGTAATGCAACTCACATTTCCTACGAAAAAGTATGGGCTATTTATACCAACAAATTACTAATTCAGGAGATATTTAAATTTCAACATTGAAGAGTGATACATAATTTCGGTATAACTGGTACGAATAATATCTAACATCTGATGATTGTATGGATGGCATGTTAACGAATTTGGACAAAAGTGCTAGACAGGTTTAATAAGTTATTTAGAAACCGGGTAAATTTCTGTATTGAAGCTGAAGGACGCACTTTATTATAATGAATGACGAGCTGCATCGACTTTATACATTTAAACATCTATAACTACATTTTAAAAAACAAAGACCTTCATATGTCCACTATGCGTCTACCTACAAAAAAACTACTCACACCAGGACATTTCTCTTTTAAAGTCATTCAGCTTTTGCCTGAAGAATTTTTTGGTACCATTAGTAATTGAAACTAAAGAAATATTTAGTTTAAAGCAAGATACTAAAAGAAATATGTATGTAGAAAGTGTTAGTTTCTATTTGTATATTTCAAACATGCCAATGGCCTGTCCATTTACATATAAATTAGAACATGCATCTATGACTTGTATAAATTAGTTTGTATAGCTAATTTCCCTGTGATGCTTTCGTGTAAGTATTTATACAATATTATTAATCATTTATCAAGGTATTACGGGAATTGTATACATGTTAGGATGCTCCAAGGCACACACCGTTTTGTTTTGTTACACATTGGTTATCCTTCTTTCTGATTCAAAATCACAATACTACTATTCCGGAATCATACTACGCTATACCTACTTTAATACGTTACTACTCTATCACCCTTAAAATGTTTCAATTTATTTCTGGGACACTATATAATGGAGAAAATATATTTTCAATTAATTATTTTTAAATAGTATCAAATTTGTACTGGATATTTCACACTTTTACATTTAAAGAATTTCTAGTTACAAAAAGTAACGTATACAAATTACGAAAAACAGTTGCATTTTAAAATGTACATAACGAAGAAAATAATCTTTCGAACAACAGGTTATACTAAACATAGTAAAATATGTCAGGTTTAATATGCTTTGAATGAATTATTATATGCTTAATCTTCCGTGGACTGTGCCGGAGTCACGCGAGAGCGAGAGCGATATGCATACAGTAATGGAGTTGTCCGTGTAATTCGGGAACTGACGACGTGTGACACTGTATAAAAACTGCCGGGCTAAGACGCCGCAGAAGTATTGACTTACGTGTTCGGCTCACACTACAGAGAGCCCTTGATAAGTGTGAGTCGGCTTCTCCACGACAAGTGTGAAGACGTCATCCCCACCACTGGGAAAGAGGGCCGTGGAAGCAGTCAAGCGTATAATTATTTGCCCCGCGCGCTGCGGCGGCTTCCCTTTCACGAGGCGACGGTTGAACAAGGGGAGATCAAAAAAAGATTACATGCCCGGGAAGCGAGTGAACGCAACGCTAATGCAACGATGTAACTTTTTTGTTTTTGGTTCTTTGTTAACGAAACTTTTACGAACAGATTCATGAGATTTTTCTGATTAAAATGATACCAAACTCGATATAATTTGAACCATATTTACTTATGATTTATCAGAAGCGATAATGAACGAATATGAACTGTCAACACTTTCTACATGAGTAAATATGATCCAAATTATGTCGTATTTGGTATCATTTTAATCAGAAAAATCTCACCAATATACTAGTGAAAGTTTGAATAACAACGAATCAAAAAATAAAAAATTTTCATCATTGCATTAGCGTTGTCTCACTGATACCCGGAAATGTAATCTTTTCTTGATCTGCCCTCATTCAGCCGTCCCGCCGACTCGTCGAAAAAAGTCCTCTGTCTTCTTACCGAGTTTCCGTAAATCAAGGCTGACCAAGTATAATTTAAAATAAAATATATTTAATGACAAACAGTACCATTCCACTATATTTAAATTATAAACACTACATCTGAATTCCTCCA